ACCTGCACTGCCCTATGAGTACCCCCACCCACCCACCCCAACCTCACACCCAGGCACTGCACGGCACACGGGCACAGCACACGGGGAAACACGGGGAAGAATGGATTTGGGTTTGGGAAGCCGAGTTCCCGGGAGCATCACTCCATGCGGCCTCGTTACCGGGTCCCACAGCCCCAGCTCCCGTTGGCTCATCCTGGTAAAGCCCGTGGTAAAGATGTGTCCTTCCCGCGTGAAGATGGCCCGCACGGGCCTCAGCCCCTCGTGGGGAGCGAACCTCTCCTGGGGATGGGGGGCACAGAGTCAGCGTGTGGCGCAGGGATGGGGTGTGAGGGCACGGATCCATCCCTGCTGCAGCTATTGGGTTCCAATGGAGGTGGGCGCAGGAGGGTCCTGGGGGGGGCACGCGGGGTCCTGGGGGGCACAGTGGGTCACGGCGCAGCCCCATACCAGGTCCCAGAGGCCCAGCTGCCGCTCACTCATCTTGCTGAAGCCGGTGGTGAAGATCTTGCCATCGGCCATGAAGATGGCGCGGATGGGCCGGGCGCCGTCGTGCGGTTTGGTTATCTCCTGCGTTGGGCGTTAGCGGGTTAAAGGCAAACACAGAGGGATGGGGTTAGTGGGGTCGGCCGTTAGCAGGGATGGGGGGGGGAGCGAGGGGGGGAGGTGGAGATGGGGACACGCTGGGGACACTCACCGCCACCACCGTCTGCTTGCGCGGGTCGATGACGCGCACCTTCTTGTCCTTGCAGGTGGTGACCAGGAGGCTGCCGTTGCGGTTCCAGCCCACGTTGTAGATGAGGTCGGTGTGCATGTCCTCCAGAGCCAGCAGCATCTCCCCCGTGCCCACATTCCAGAGGATAACCAGGTTGTCACAGCCTGCAGGGGACACCGGGGCAGTGTCACCACACTGGTGACCACTACAGGTTCCCGATGGGGATTTGGGGTGACTGCTGTTGGTCACTGGTGGAACTTGGGGTGACGACTGTTGGTCCTCAGCGCGGATTTGGGTGACCACCTTTGGTTCCTGACGGAACTTGGGGTGATCACCATCAGTTCTTCGTGGGACTCAGAGTGGGACTACCATTGGTCCCCAATGGGGATTTGGGGTTTTACCATTGATTCCCACAGGACTTGGGGTGAGCCCCACCTGCGCTCAGCAGCACGTTGCGGGCTGTGGGGTGCCAGCAGATGATGCCCACGCGCTTGGAGTGCCCCTCCAGCGTCACCACCGGCTCCGTGATGCTGCGCACGGGGATGTAGTCTGGGATCTGCCACACCTGGGGGGGGGGGACACGGGGATAATTAACCTCAGAGCTGCTCCAATACACGTCCTGATGCTGCAGGGAGCACGTGGTGCCAGGGGGATGGAGGGGGGTAGGGGGGGCACAGCCCCATTGTGCCGCATGTGGCCCCCCCGGTGCTGAGTCGCAGGGAGGGTATATTTAGCATAAAGTGCTGCATCATGGAGCCGGCGGCCGCCGCCAGCAGCACACACGCATGGCACTGCCTCTAAAAATAGGTCAGTGACACTTTGCAGGCGGCAAAGCAACGGGAAGGGAGGGGGGGGGCCTCCATACCCCCCCCACCGCCCGCCCCTCACCATAACGGTGGTGTCCTCGGAGGCGCTGGCGATGACGTTGTCGTTGTGAGGGCACCAGTCGATGTCCAGCACGGGCGCCGTGTGCCCCGTCACCAGCGGGTGGTTCTTGTCCACACGGCCTGTCTGCAGCACGAGGGGGGGGGGAGGGATGAGCCTGGGACCCCTCCCCTGAGCCACAGCACAGATACAGCATGGAGGGAGCCATGGGGAAACTGAGGCACTGAGCCCCATGGGGATGCAGAGGGCAGCAATATGCCTGGGAATGGGTTGCTGCGTGCCCTATGGTGGTGGTGTGGGACACAAGAGGGGGCCTAGTCCTTGTGTTGGGGTGGGCAGACACACACATACACACACTCAGGGATTTGGGGCTGGAGAGAAAGTGGATGGAGGGTTCCCTATGTCACTGCAGTTGTCCCCAGGATATGTGCCAGTAACTCCCACAGGGTCCCTGAGCCCCCCACAGGTTGGGGATATGGGGGCAAAGAGATGAAGAGCCGTTATCACATCCCATGCCCAGAGCAGAGCCCCTCATCACATCCCACACCCAGTACCACCCATGGGGGACCCGTCCCTACGCCTCCACTCACCTTGGACAGGGGCAGGACCATGAAGGCCCCCCCGCCACCCGACTCCACAATGATGGCCAGGAATTTGGGGTTGACGGCGCAGAAGGAGCTGTCCCACGTCACCTTGGAGACACGGATGTCCTCATACATCTGGTCGGCCTTCACCGGCTGCCCAAAGACGTGGCGGAACTTGCTCTGACGCACCACGCGGCGGCTCATGGCTGGGGGGGCACAGGTCAGGACGTGGAGCCCCCCCAGTGGGGTGCAGGGACCTCAACACCCACAGATCTCGTGCTGCGAGGGATCCCCATCCAGGTTTGGAGGGAGTGTGGGGATGTGGCGATGGCATGGGATGGGGGCACGGGATGGAACCTGGTGTGGTCCTCGCCCCACAGAGGGAGCTGGGGCAGCTGTGGGTGTTGGGGTGGCTGCTGGGCACCAGCATCTCATGGAACAGTGCTGCCTGTCTGCTTTGTGGCGGGGATGTGGCTGTGCTGTGCACCAGGGCTGTGCCATCCCCTATAGCTGTGCCATGCCCTATGCCCGTGCCACCCCCATGGTTGTGTCATGTCCTATGTCCATGCCATCCTCATGGCTGTGCTGTGCCCTGTGGCCATCACCAGAGCTGACCCATACGTAGTGACAGCGGGAAAGCGGGGCTGCAAAAAGCTCGGGGGGGGGGGGGGGTAATAGGAGGTGCCATGCACTGGGTCACAGCTCATCCCTGTGTGTCCCCTCGTGTCCCATCCCAGAGCAGTGATCTGAGGTCTCCCACCTGGGTCACACTTCCCCAGCGCTCGGGGATTCAGAACATCAGAGCTTTGGGCAGCATGGCCACACGGCCCCATGTGCAGAGGGAGTGGAGAGGAGCCTGGAGCTCTGCACAGCACTGGGGGGGTCTAATTGGGGTTATCCAATATCCCCATCACCCCGGCCCCTGCCAGGTGTGCACTGACCCTCCTGGAGACCCCAGTGTCACTCCCAGTGCTGCAGGTCTGCAGTGCTGTGGGATGGTGACCCCACAACCCCACAGTGCCCTTTGGGGCCAGTCGGCATCACAGCCCGGTGCAGCACAGCGCGTTCCTGCAGGTTTGTGCCCCTTTGGCACTGCCCAGGAGTTGGGGGGTCCCCGAAATGGTGTCTCCACCAGGACAAGGCCCTCAGTGCTGGGGGGCTGCGTGGGGATGTCCTGCAGAACCCATCTGGCACAAGGGGAGCGCAGCTGGGAGTGCGGATGTGGACAGGGAAGGGATGAGGGGCTGCCTGGGGGGCGAGGGGCAGCTGGGGGCACAGGACATGTGAGGTGCAGCGAGGGGCAGTGCATGGGGTGCAGGTGGAGTGCAGGAGGGTGCATGGAGTGCAGGTGGGGTGCAGGTGGGGTGCAGAGGCTGCAGGACCGGTGCAAGGGGTGCAGGCAGATGGGGTCGGAGGGGCTGCAGGCAGCGTGCAGGGGGTGCAGGGGCAGCGGGCGCGGTGCAGGCAGGACAGCCCGCTCCCGGCCGTGCCATTACGTTGCCACAATTGAATCCGCAGCGGCCGCTCGGGAACGACCAGAGGTCACTTTCCATTTATAGCCATCTCCCGGCGGGGCCCGGCGGAACGAGGGGCCGGGGGCCCGGGGCTCGCCGTTCCGCTCCCACCGCCCTTCTCTTGTCCCCTCGCCCCCCGCTCCCCCCACCCCGGCCCCATCACCGACCCCGCTCCCACCTGCGCTCCGCTGCTGCCCCGCTCGGCTCCGCCCGCTCCCGCGTCCCCGGCCCCGCTCCGCCCGGCACGGCACGGCCCGGCTCGGCTCGGCTCCGCTCGGTCGGGCTGCGCGGGGCGCGCAGTGCCGCAGGGAACAGCTGAGCCCAGCCCGGAGCCGGGCCGGCACGGCCCCCCCGCTGCGGGCACCGGGAGGAGGAGGGGAGGGGGGGCCCGGCCCCGCCTGCCCTTACCGGGCCCTGCCCGGCCCCGGCCGAGCGCTGCCCGCCCCCGAACCCACCGGGATGGGGGATACGCGCTACAGGGGGCGGCGGCGGCGTAGCATCCCTATGCCCACCCCCTTCCACCCCCTTTCGCCCGCCCCCACGGGATGTTCGTTGGGATTTAGCCGGGACTGCACCGGCCCAAAGGGGATTAAAGGGATCGTAAGGCTGGGGGGGAGCCGGGGCAGGGGGTTCCTGGAAAGGCAGCAGGCGATGGCCCCTACAAGGGCACCGAGCAGAGCATTGGCTGTGCTGAGCGGGTCAGCAGGGAAAGTGACATCCACCCACCACCCATCCGGCCGGGGGCTGCGGGACAACATCGTCACAGCACCGCACAGCTCTGCCCCGCTGCACATCCCCGTAGGGGAAGGGGACCTCAGGAGCCTTTTTCCGATGGGCATGGGGGCAGCAGGGGAGGCTGGGCACCCCCAGCCCTACTGCAACACCCCCAGTGCTGGGCACACTCTGGGCACAGTCCCAGAAGGATTTTGGGGCTGGGGTCCTCCACCCTCAGTGCATCACCTGGGCCGGGGGGGGGGGGGGGAACAGCAGCCGGCCGGGTGGGGACACAGAGCCCCCCAGCCTTGAGAAGGAGGCAGCAGGCTGACATCGTCGTCAAAATAAAACTTTTATTCATTCGGTAACAAGAACATTGAATCTGCACATCAGTGCACGAGTTCACATTTAAAAACAGCGGAGCACATCGGTCATAAAGTCTCTTAGAGGAGTATGGGGGGGGAGGTGGGGGAAAGGGACGATCCCAGGCACCGAGGGACACTGGGGGGGGCACACTTGTGCTCCATCCCCAGCCACAGCTGAGCACACGGACATTGCACATCGGGGCAGGGGTGGAAAGGCACCAGCACGGGTCTTGGTGCTGTGGGAAGTGCCCAGGAGCGCAGCCCTATGCCAGTGCTGCGGCCCAATGGTGCCTCGTAGGTTCCCTTTCACCAGGAGTCACCTCCAGGATGGGGCCGAGGGGGGGGTCTGTACATGGGATGACTTTGGGAAGGATGGGACGCACGCACACACACACACACACCACAGAGTGCAACAGAACACAGTGTAAAAACCAGGTGGACGCGGGCGCCATCCGTCTGTGCAAGGCTCACACTTACAGTACGGGCAGAGGTGGGGTGGGGGGGGGCAATGGCTGAGATATTGTACAGGAGTCAATGTAAACAACTGAGCGCCCTCTGGGAGGGCTTGGTGAGACCAAAGGAACGGCTGCTTTGTACAAAATGCCCTTCAAACATCGTGTTCCTCCCAAAAGCCCACCGGCAAGGGGAGAGGTGGCAGCACAGAGACAGGGAGCGCAGCCTCAGGGGCAGCTCTGAGCCCGGTGGCTTTGGCTGAGCACCCAGCACTGTGCACCCCTTCTGCCAGCGGGTTCAGAGCCCCTCAGCGCCTTTGTAATGCTGGAAGGGAACAAGGCTGGGCTGGGGACAAGGGGACAGCACGGCTCTGCAGCACTGCTGCTCTGCAGAGAGGAGCGTTGGGAGGAAGCACGTTTCTGCTCTGCAAAAAGGACACCTCTCCTGAGACCAAACTAGGTGGAGAAAGCTGGGGAGGTGAGGGCCAAAGCTGTCCTTCACAGCTGACCCCAGGGCACATGGCCTTTCTGTGCTGCCCACATGGCTCCAAGGCCAGCTGGAGCCACTGGGAGCCACGTGGCCCCACAGCAAGCCATGGCTCGCTGCGATCCAATCCTTGGGCTGCGCTCCAAACTGTGGCCAGCACTGCTAGGGCAGCTTGCAGAGCTACAGCAGGACAGGCACGGGAACCTTGGGCTGCAGCAAGGCAGCAGGAGGAGCCCAGGAGCTGCAGGAGAGGCAAATCCTCCCACATGGTGGCACGAGCTGCCCTGCAGCTGGAGATGAGCTCAGCACAGCCTGCAGCACCGCTGCTGCTTTCCAGGCACGGCCTGGGCTGCTGCTCCTCCTGCCCTGTGCTCTCTGGGCACTGCACGTTCAGCAGCAGGAGTTGTTCTGCAGCTCCTGGCAGGGCCAGGCACCAGGCAGTGCAGAGCAGGCTGAAACTGGGAGTAACCGTGTGGGTCTGGGAGAGGCCAGGAGCTGCAGAAGAGAACACAGGGCTGGAGGAGATATTTGGCCAAAGCCACTGCGTTTGGGTGCAGAGATGCCATGGACAGCACTGAGGGTGAGGAAAGTGGTGTTGTTTTCCAGTTTACAGAATGCAGTCTTGCCCTTAAAAAAAAAAACAAAAAAAAAAAAACCACAAAATAATAACCAACATAGAAACAAACAAAAAAATCTATATAAATATCATATATACAATTTAGCAAAAAACAGAAACTTCCAGGAAAGATCCTCCCTCCAGGCTGAATACAACAGGAGTGGCAGCAGAGGACAAAGCTTTTGCATTCAGTGTGAGAACAAAATGTGTAACAACTACAGTGGCCTCTGGGATGCAGAGGGGATGTGGGGCAGCTCTGGGGTGCAGGGAGGCAGCAGAGGGCAGAGGACACGATATGGCCATGAACGTGGAAGGCCCACAGCAGAATTCAAGTAACGGGAGGGCTCATGCCCTGCTGAGGTGTTTGTTTTAGAAGAACACTCCAGGTCGTGGGCTCTCAGTTAGGGGAGGAGGTGGGGGCAGAGCTGAGGGTCCCTGAGCCCAGCCCTGTGCTCCTGTTGGGGCACACAGGCAGAACGGAGCTCTGTAAAGGACCTGCCAGCACCACCCAGCTCCAGCCTGCAGCACAAAGTGAACAAAGTGGACTTGGCACAGCCTTCACAGTTGCGTGGGCTCTCGCCCCAATGCCCAGCACCATTTTGAGGCACGGGGCTGATTCAAGTGAGGATCTAGGAGCTGGTTTCGAGCAAACCTCTGCCCCGCTGCAGTGAGCCAGCATCCGTTTCCAACAGGGAGAGGTGTTCTTTTAAAACAAACCAACAACAAAAAGAACATCTGAGGTTATCTGAGTTCATTAAAAAAACAAAACAAAACACAACCCATAAAAAACAAAAACCAACCAACAGTCCTGCAGTCAGAGTCACACACAGAAGAACCAACCCACACCTACATGCGCCAGGAACGGTAAGATGACAATATATATATATATATAAAATTAACCAATAAAGTGCATGTTCCTTATATTACACCTGCCCCTTGTGTGAGCACAGCGCTCACAATCACATGGTGTTATACAGGGGATTGGTTGTCCGCTTTCTGTCATTGCTCTTTTTGAGTCTCCTCAACGGGTGAGTTCTACCATGCTGCTGTCGGGGTGCTGCCAACACAGAGGCTCCCTCCTGGGGGGCAGTCCACGTGGGAGCGGAGCTGGGAGCCGAGCCGTGCTGGTTGGAGCCGCACTCTTTGGCGTACTGAGCCAGCGGGCGCTCCACCGGCCTGCTCTGCGCAATGCACTCGGCTGTTCTGAGCTGCTCTACAAAATGCTGAGCGGGTTGGGGATCCTGGAGGGCGGGTGAGGAGAACGGGTGGCATTTCGCACACGGGCTCTCCAAGCTCTGCTCTGACCTGGCCCCGTGAAAACCTGCACCCAGGGCCATGCAGGTGAGGAGGACGGGGCTGGCGCAGCGGGAGGCCGCCTCCCTCTCAGACAAGTCGTCCTTGGAGAGCTCCAGGCAGTCCAGTTTGGCCAAGGATGCCGAGCGCTTCATCTGGGAGGGGGTGGTGAGCCCTGCGTGCCGGATGCGTGCCTCTATTTCCTTTGCTCGCTGTTTGACCAGCCCAGGGCTGCTGCTGCGCTCCCCCACGCTGTGACTGCTGGAGCTGTGGGGCAGGCTGCAGCACAGGAAGGAGATGTCCAAAAGGTCCACGTTTGCGGCGTGCAGGCTGGTTGAGGAGCCAGCACCACCCTGGCATGGAGCCTGGCTGCTGTCCCTAAACAGGAGACTCACGGCTCCCGCAGTGCCACACAGCGTGGTCGGCTCATGGTCCGTGCTCGTGCTCTGCTCGGTGACACCTTCCAGGTGCATCACACAGGGCAACACAGAGCGGTCAGGGCTGGCTGAGGGCGTGCAGGAGGGCTGGGCAGAGGGGGAAGCAGCACCGAGGGGAAAGGACAAGGCAGTGCCTTCCTCGCTGGGGCTGAGCAGGGTGCAAGTAGCCTGCTGCTGCTGCACCAAGTGCTCTGGCAGTGGCGGGTGTACCAGAGCTCTGAGAGAGGCCGCTGCCTTCTCAGAGCACAGGGAAGGGTTCAAGTTTTCATCCAGCAGAGGGAGAGCTGCGGGCTGCTCATTGCCTGCAGCGGGGCTCTCGGCAGCCCTGACCATAGGAGTGAACTCGATGATTTCGATTCTTTTGGGAAGGAGGGAAGGCAGGGCCGGCTCCTCCGTGCCATCAAACGAGACCACCACCCTGTGCTCCTCCTGCCCTGGGCTGGGCTCTGTGGGGTGCGCAAGGAGTGTGGGCAGCTGCCTGCCTGCAGGCTGCTCTGCACCCAGTGACAGCAGCTCCTCGGAGCCCTGCACCGCACCACCCTCCGGAGCCAACTCCAGGGGCAGCTCCTCCGTCCTCCCCTGTGGCAGCAGCTCAGCAGCAGGAGAGTCGTTCCTGGAGTTCTTGCGGGTCAGCAGGACGCAGACTGGAGACACGTGCTGGTGCTCTTGCTCCTGCCTCAAGCGCTCCTCAAACTCCAACGTGGCTCTGCGGACGGAGCCGGGGCACCACTTGGGCTCAGGGAGGACGCTGAGCTGCTCACCCTCCTCCAGCTCTGATTTACAGGAGGAGAGCTGCAGTGAGGGAGCAGTTTCTTGCTTAGCTTGCAGAGGGTCTTTCTCCTTTTCCTGGTGTCCTTCGC